ATCAGCGCGTACCTGGTACGTAGAAGAGTCGGTGAACGCAATGGCACATAAGAAGAAGAGGCAGGCTGGGTGAGGCGAGGGACATACGCAATGGAGAGCTGGATGACGTGCAATGCGGCCGCCACGAGATGATGAAAGTTGTCGTTGACTACCTTGGCTCTATTACGTTCGCGCACAAGGGGTGCGGTTCCTGAGTGAAGTGCGTTCATCAAGCAAGCGCGGATAGGAGAACGAGAGCGGTGCGCACTGGTGTTGGGGAGTGAGTCGGAGAAGCTTCTTGAGTGGCTGGCTTGCCTGTACGTCATACAGATCATCGTCACACTGGATCTTCAACTCTTCTTCTAACCTCTTGGAGTGCATTCTCTGCTCATAGCCTTCTCGCCGTTACGGTTGCGAAGAAGAGGAACAATCATCAGCAAACGCATTCAAGGAGTAGCAGGACGGTGGAGAGGGAAGCTCCGACGTGAAGGTGAGGGCTTTTATGAAGAAAGGGACAAGGCGGAAGAGGAGTGTCAATGTACCTTGGCGGAAGGTGATAAGCCACTCGTAAAACAGGCCCACAAGGAAGATGGCCACGGCAGTTACCGTGTACCAACCAGGCGACTCGACGTGCCATTCTGGAGACCATACCAAGACAAACATTCAATAAGGGTGCTGCCTTGATCTGCATCTCAATTCATCTTATCTCATTTTATCTTATGTATTATTAATTTCATTAGCATTTGCCAGATAGGAGGACGTACGTTCGAATAGAACGGTAACTTCTGTGCTCCATTGAAAGTACATTGGCATCGACATGTCGTGCATGGGTGCCGATCCTACCGAATGGTCAGCGTGGCTCATCGAGGTATGACCAGATTGATGTGTCGCGGGATGATGATTGTTGTGCAGGTCAAAATTGATCGGTGCGCTGTCCAGCAATCCGTCCATGCACCTTGGCAGCTCAAAAGATGCCGCAGAAATGGCTTTGCAAAAGGCCTTCTGATATTATTGTTGAATCATCTTCTTTTATCCTTTTTGCTGACGATATCCTTTCTTAGCGCCTGCGTGTCTCTGCATGTGAGAAGAAGCAGCGGCAACGACCAAGCTCTCCACCACGCTCACAACAACAGCTCGACATGTCGGCAGAAGTAGATGGATTCGACTGGGAGGCCGTTCTGGCCGACTGGCAGAGGAGAGGCAACAACCTGGCCACGGTGCACGCGGTTCCGGTCCTCGTGTCGGCGGTGCTGTGGACGCTTGTCCATGAGTGCTCCGGGTGGGTGCTGGGCTTCTTCCTCAACACCAAGCTTGACCTGCCACCCACCCACAGCTTCAAGTGGCGCAGTCGAGTGGTGTCCTTCTTCTTCAGCCTCACCATACTGGTGGGCGCCTTCTACGGACTTCTCTTCGACCCCTTCCTCCAGGGCGACTCCTTCACCTCGTACTCGACCGTGGCGTACTACACCATTACCACTGCAGTGGGCTTCTTCTTGTGGGACGTCATCATCTGCGCGCGCCACTACGACGAGTTCCGCTTCCCTCTCCTCTTCCATGGCATCGCTTGCCTCCTCACCTTCGTGAGCTTTCTTGTACAAGGCTCCTCCACCGAGCACAAGGCCACGTTGGGCTATCGCATGCTGACTGACAGCTCCACTCGCTGCAGGACGGCAAGTTCATGTACTACGGCTGCTTCTACCTGACCTTCGAGGCCAGCACGCCCTTCCTCAACATGCAGTGGCTGCTGGAGAAGATGAACGCACGCCCGTCCCTGAAGCTGGCCAACGGTGTCTTGCTGCTGTCGTCCTTCTTCGTGTTCCGCATCGCACTGGGCATCGGCTACTCCTTCCTCGTATGGCAGGACATCAACGAGCGCCTGCCCGCCATGACCGACTCGTCCGACCGGTTCTTCGGCTACTACTACACCATTGCGATGCTCTCTCTCAGCTTGCTCAACGTCTACTGGTTCTACCTCCTCTGTCGGCTCATGGTGGCCAGGATCACCGGCACCGACAACAGCTCGAAGAAGACGCAGTGAGCACTCGGGCCGGCTTCTCGTGTTTCAGGCTGACGTCAGCAATCAAGGAAATTCTGTTTCTTTTTGTGTCACGGCGTGTCAACGTGGTCCGAAGCACGACACGACACGACACGCAGACGCATCACCGGCGGTCTTCACAAAAAAACACAACCGCACACAGTACACGGCACACCACACGACCATGGAGCGCACAGTAGAAGAAGAACCAGCGCTCACCACGTCAGCCGAAGCGGAGGCTGAAGTAGCGCCGCCTGCTACAACACCAGCTCCTGTTCAGGCTGCGCCAGACCCCGCCCCCACCACCTCTACGTCCTCCCCTCTGCCGCCTGTAGCAGCGAAGGTCATGGGCAGACCGCAACCAGAGAGGGACGACACGTTGTACGACCTGCTCTGCCTCCTCTACCCGGACGCGGTGGAGCGGGCCCAGGCCGCGGTGCGCCTGGCCGTTCGCACCTACACGCCCGAGGGCGGTGTGGTGGCGCTGCCGCCACCAATCTCGACCACTGCTGCTCTTCGAACGACACGGGCGCGAATCGCGCCCAAGGAAGAAGATGAAAGCGAAGATGGTGGATTCTACGCGGCCTACCCCACGCCAGCTGCGAACGAAACGGACGAAGATGAAGCAGAAGAAGATGAAATTGAGCCAGATGGTGGAGAGAACATCGCGAAAGATTCGGACGAAGAGGCGAGCTGCGAGTGGGTGTGGCTGAAGGACCGAGGCCTGAGAGAGCGGGCCAAGGAGGCCGAGCAGGAGCGCGCCACCTCGAGAAAGCGACGAAGGCACACCATCGCCACCACCTCCAGCACCACCTCGTTGTCTGCTGGGACTGGCGAGGAGCACGCCAGCGGGAGCAGGAAGAAGCGAAGAAGGCGATCTCCTGGCGAGAGCCGATTCCTCGACGGTGCTCGCGTGCCTCTGCACGGCAGCGGCAAGGACGAGGGCAGCCTGCCCCTCGTCGCCGACGAATACGAGCGCAACAAGGCCAAGGCCCTGCTGCGCGACATGCGCGACTCGCTGGGCCTGCCGCCCGTCAACAACAAGGTGCGCATGCTGCACTGGAGCCTCGAGGAGGGCCACGAGTACGAGCGCATCATGGCCGAGAAGAAGGGCGAGTTCATCCGCTGGATGGACGAGCAGGGCCTCCGACCCACCACCGTGCGGGCCAAGAAGCGGCTGTGGGAGTACCTGGGCGACTTCCCGCAGGTGGCCCTGTGCCGCGTGGGCCTGCGTCGGTGGGAGCGCGGCATCACCATCCAGCTCCTGCGCGAGGCCATCGACGCCGATCCCGACGAGAAGGCCTTCTGGTCGCAGCCGCTCACCGATCAACAGCGCGAGCTCATCAAGCTGGCCGGGCCCTGATGAGGGCTCAGGGGTGCACCAAACACACAACCCTCTCCTCTCATCACAATCACAGCACACCACTCAGCACTCTCTCCACCATGATGGTGGAGAACCCACACACTTGTACACTAAGGCGCTACATTCACAGCATCGAAATGCATTTCAAAAACAATTTGGTGAAACGTTTCATTTCAGATCTTGAGTTCCGCGGAGAGCGTGTTGGCCCTGCGCTTGGTTTGAGCACAACCCTCTCTTCCGCTCGTAAACACGTAAGCCGAGGAGGCAAGTGATTGAGGCCACGAGGTGGAAGGCAACTGAACGGGCGCGATGGCGGCTGTTGGGTTGCCACCAGAAACAGGCAATACGCATCTCAGAGCAACGCCAACAAAGAACGAAACTCCAACTCAGTCGATTCGTCAAGAAGGGGGCGCCCCTCCTCCTGTCGATTTCCAGGACTCGACCAGCCACGCAAACAGCGGCACCACCCCAGGTACACAACGAGAAATCTGCACAATCTTCATTCATTTTACACGAAATCTCTTCATTAACAATTGAAGCATCGTGCAAGAAAGGAGCCCTTTTATGCATCTTCTTGCCTAGCATCCAATCACATACAACTTGAAGAGTTGGAGTTATCATTTGCAATCGTTTCTTGCAACTCTTTTGCCCTGGCGACGAGCACTGCCTGACAACGACTTTCAAATCAGACAAAGAGGGCAGGACGAGGCAGATGGATGCCTGTGCCGAGCCAGAGGCTGGGCTAGAGGCTGAAATCTCGGCAACGAACGGTATGGAGAGCGCGGGACCAGCTTCAAGTCAGCATGACCATGGGCAGTCCCCAAACAACAGCATCGCCACCAAGGAAACAGATGGAAGTAAGACGAACACACAGACGAAGTGCACGGAGAAGAAGAAGCGGCACGTTGCGCTGGAGCCGTGGAAAGCGAAGGAGATGGAGATGGACATCAGCGAAGAGGTTTCTGGCGCTGAGGAAGGAGAGGCCTCCTCCTCCCGCAACAGCGACGACAAGGAGGAGACCGAAGCCAAGGGCGCCGAGGAGAAGCAGCCGCAGCAGTCGGCGGTCCCTGATGCAGCCCCGCCCGACGGAGTGGACGCTCCCCGCAAGAAGCCGAATACGAAAAAGACGAAGCACAAGAAGACGCTGAACGATGTGTGCATGCCGATGAGGCAGCAGGCAGAGCGCGAGAGCGGCCAGCGAGAACATGGCGACCAGACGGGAGAGGCAGCGACCGCACCACCGGGAAACGACACCAAACTGAAGGGCTCGAGAAAGAAGGCGAAGAAGCTGCACAAGGCAATGGAAGCTGGGAAGGCGAAGGAGGCAGTGCGGGACAGCTCGAGCATCTCGGCGGAGACGGTCGCGACGGTCACGATGGGCGGGCGAGAAGAAGAAGAAGAAGAGAGTGCGACGATCGGTCTCCTGGATCTGCCGGAGGAGGTGCTGCTCGGCGTGCTATCATTCCTCGCGCCGCTCGATCTCGTGCTGGTCTCTCAGGCCTGCCGTCTGCTACAGCTCCTAAGCCGCGAGCCCACCATCCTGCGCGCACTACGCGAGCACCATCGCATCCACGTACGTGCCCGCACGCGCAGTGTGCTTGCAATGCTCTCCTCACAACCCGCGTCTTTTTTGTTGTGCGTACACAGAAGGGGAAGAAGAGGGCGAGGTTGCAACCGCTCTTCGTCCACCCGGCCTACTACGCCCTCGAACAGCCTCGCTACACGCTCAAGCAGCTCGAAAGCCTCGAGACACCCTCCGGTAAGCTGAACGTCGGCACACATGTGTGCACTCAAGTTTGGCGAGTGACTGACTGATCACCACCCCCTTGGGAGCAGTTGTGCTGGATCGACTGGTGGAAGACGGGTTCTTCTTTCTGAGCCTCGACGAGGCCGATCTGCAGATCGTGCGGGACATGAAGGCCGCGGCGTCCCGCTTCCTGGCCTCTTCAGAGGGCCTCGACGCCATGTCCCGACGCTCCATGCTCTACCTCAAGACGTCGGCCGCCGGCTATGCCGAGGCGCCCGAAATCAATTCGTTCCAGGTACGCCACACGCCACACGCCACACGCCACACGCCACACGCCACACGCCACACGCCACACGCCACACGCCACACGCCACACGCCACACGCCACACGCCACACGCCACACGCCACACGCCTTATAGGGCTCACCCACGTACCACAACCCAGACAACCGTCACACACCATCGATGGTTTCCATGGCCCGACGCCACGGACGAGGACAAAGCGGTAGCCACTCGCTACTGGAGGTACTCAACCGGACGATGAGCTGGGTCCATTCACGCGGCGAACTAGTCCTAACCGCAGGTCCATGGCAATGTCTGTCATGCCAGGCTGATGGGGCGCATCACCGTAGTTCTGCTGACCAACCTGGCCAAGCACCTGGGCATACCCATGAGCGTTATGGAGCTTCTCCTCTTCTCCAGGTCAGTTCCCTCCCACCTCTTTCACTCGTTCTCAGAATTCTCAGAATTCCTCTTCATCTCTGTTGGTGGTGGTTCGCACGCATGCACACACCGCAGGAAGAAGGTGATGCACAGATACGGGGACGACAGCTTCCTGGCCAGCGATAGCGTACATGTCCAGTGGAGCTGCGAGCTGTGCACCCTACTCAATCCGGGCACCCGCCGCACCTGCGCGGCGTGTCAAGGCCCACGACCGCTCGCTCGACCAGGTACCTCGCCTCGCCCCGACCCACAGTCCTCCCCTCCCAGAGTTGACTTTTGTTGACACCGCAGAGGCGGTTTCGGCCGATCAAGTGGAGAGCGAGCAGACGCACGGCGACGGGCAGCAGCCGCGACCGCTGAACGAAGCGGCAACAAAAGAGACCGCGGAGACGACAGCGGAGACCATTGGAAGCCCGTTCACGCGGGAGAAGGTGGTGGCGGTGACGGACGAGGAGTTGGATCGGCTGCTGGCGCCCACGCTCAAGTTCTACCGCTTCCGCGAGATCGAGAAGAGACGCAAGGACGGTTGGCGCGGCCGCGACGGCAGCCTCCGCGTGTTCTCCGCCATGACTCCGCGCGGCGCCAACCCTGCGGCCGCCGCGGCGGCCGCAGACGTCGTCGATGTCGACCACGGGCTTGGCGCCGGCGATGGAATGATTCATCTGCTCGAAGAACCCACGCCACTCCCGCTGCCGCCACCCTTGCCGCAGCCGACTAGGGAAGATGCCCAGCACCAACAGCACCAGCAACAGTCCACGGGCGAGCAACAGAGGAGGAAGCGGAAGGCGGACTTCAGCACGCAGCTCAACATGATGCCGTGCAATGCCATGTTCAAGCTTA